CTGAGTCCAGCGTGAAGGTGTGCAGTGCTGCAGTCGACACAGTACTAGGGGGGCAGATGTACAAGCACCTAGAGCAGCAGCCTCACCAGCACCTGGGGCAGGGGACACGTAAGTACCTGAAGTGGCGGAACACTAGTCCTAATGCCCGGGTCGGGCGGGACACTCATGTACTCAGCACCCTCTCCACTAGTAGACATCACATACATGGCAGTGAGAATAGTATCAAAGTCTAGAGCATAGATATCAATCACCCCTACTTCAGGAGATCAACCCAGTGGGGCAGCTCAGTGGCCTGAGGGAACTGAACACGCAAGCGTCGTTCAGACGAGCGAAGCAACGCTGTGTGGCGTGCGGTCCCCACACGGCTGGCCAGTGCGGTCACCAGTGCGAATGACGTACGTGCAGCTAAGGCCCCCCCCACCCCCCCCCCCCCCCCCCCCGTGCTGAGAGTACCACTCACGGACCTCCTGGGGCGACGGAGTGTGCTGCGGCCCTGGCCACCCCCAGTGCCTCCACGACCACCACCGCCGCTACCACCTCCTCGACCACCCCAACCCCGGCCGCTGCCTCGTCCACTGCCACCCCGACCACCACCTCCTCCGCCCCGGCCACCTCCCCCGCCGCTGCCGCCACCCCCCTCCCCCCCCGCTGCCACCTCCCCCACCCGCGCCACCACCCCCGCCACCACCACCTCCCCCACCATTGCCACCCCCCCTGTCACCACCCACCGCCCTTGCCCCTTTGCCCTTGCCGCTGCGGCGCCCGCTCGAAGCAGACGCAGTCCCGACCTTCTCAGCACCAAGGAGGTCGACAGCAGCAGCAGAGGCGACAGAGGGAAGAAGGGGGAGGGAGAACACCCCTCAAAGAACGGGGTACGGGGGTCACCACGAGAGGCACCTACAGCGACTATGCTAGCCTCAGTTGCAAGGAGTTCCTTCTCGAGGAGGGCAATGGTGAGCTCAGTGGGGCAGCGAGCAAGGAAGTGGTCCCTGACTGAGCGCAGAGTGTCAGGGAGGCGCGTGACTAGGTGGTAGAGAGTGAGCCAGAGCGGGGTGGGTTTCGTGGCAAGGAACTCATCAGGCATAGTGGCATGGAAGCGAGCCTCACTAGTGCGGAGGTGGGTAATGAGATCAGCGACAGTGTGAAAGGAAGCTAAGTCGGGGAACAGGTAGGGAAGAGAGAGACGGCCTAGTGCGGCAGAGGCCGTGAGGAGTAGCGGACAACGACAGCAGTGTACAATGCCTGCGCAGTCTTGTGCTGCCCAAAGTGCTCGCGCTCATCTATCGGCAGAGAGTTGCGAATAGCGAAGCGAGCATGGGCGTCACGAGTCTGCCACTGTGAGCGGGCAGTGCTGTCAGCAGTAGCAGCAGGAGCAGTAGCGTGGCCTAAGGCGTGATCGTACAGTGAGATGTCTTCCTTGGCGGTGAGCTATAGGAAGAGGTGTAGGTCATCAAGCCAGGTGTCGAACTTCACCGGGTGGCCCTCAGCATCGAAGGCTAGCACAGGAGGGCTAGCCATGAAGCAGCAGTAGGAAAAGCAGTAGGAGCAGTCAGAAGGGTAGGCAGGGCGGCGCGGCTCGGTACAGGTAGGGCGACACGGCTCGGTATAGATAGGGCGGCGCGGCTCGGTACAGGTAGGGCGGCGCGGCTCGGGTCAGGCGGCGCGCCTCGGTTAGGGCTGGGCGGCTCGGGTCGGGCGCGCTCGGATCGGTTAGGGCTGGGCGGCTCGGGTCGGAGTGGGCGGCTCGGTTCGGGCTGCTCGGTTCAGCCGGCTCGTTCTGGGTGGGGCCGTTCGGGGCCTCTAAGGGCGAGCGCGGGGGCAGGTGGGGCCGTTAGGGACGAGCGCGGGGCCGACGTGGGCCTCTAAGGGCGAGCGCGGGGCCTATCGGGGCCGTGAGGGACGAGCGCGGGCCTCTCGGGGCCTTAGGGACGAGCGCGGGGCCGATTCGGGGCCGTGAAGGGTGAGCGCGGGGGACGTTCAGGGCCTCTAAGGGCGGGCGCGAGGCCGACGTGGGCCGCTCAGGGCAAACGCGGGGCGTTAGGGGCCCGTAAGGGCATACGCGGGGCCGATCGGGGCCGTTAAGGACGAGCGCGCGGGGCCGACGTGGGCCTCTAGGGGTAAGCGCGGGGCCGATTCGGGGCCTCTAAGAGCGAGCGCGGGGCCGATCGAGGCCTCTAGGTACGAGAGCGCGGGGCCGACGGGGCCTCTAGGGGCGTGAAAGCCGAGGCGCCCTAGGGCGTAGGTAGGTAGGTAGTGGTGGGCCCTAAAAAAAATCGGTCCTAGGAAGGACCTGCTCTATACCATGTTGAACAAGAATGAATTGAACTAACAGTGAAATGAGTATAAGTAGGAAAACCTAGAAATGTGTACCCCCTATAGGCTAACCCACTGTAGCCTAAACAACTACAACAACATATATAATGTTTGACAGGAACCGGCGGCTGGCTCTCGACAACGGTCACAGCGGGTTCTTCCACATTTTCCCCCGTGTGACCCTCCAGCTCCTCTTGCCTCTTAGCGACTCGCCCGCTGAGCTGGGCTACTTTCCCCATCAATACCCGCAGCTCCGCCTCCAGTGTCGTTGTTCGACCCCTATCCACCCGCGGGCCCTCAGGGGTTTCACCGCCGGCAGATCCGGCCACGCCTGACCCCCTAGGAGGAGATGCCTCTTCGCGGCGAGCCGGCGTATGGTTTGCCGGGACCTGAGAGGGAGAAGAGCTGGCACGGGCAGACCGGGGAGAGGTGAAAGGTGCCCTTCCTGGAGAGCAGAAGGTGAAAGGTGCCCTTCCATGGAACTACTCGGCAGGGACGGCAGAGCGTGCGGATTGACTCCTGCTTGACCTGTCGCCTTTCTGAGTGATGACTCAGAGCATTTTTGCTGCTGATTTTAGACAACGATAACGCACCTAAGGAAGGTGCCTTCCCAAGCCAACCAGATTTCTACATGCCGACTCCAAGAAAATGCACAATTGGTTTGAACGTCATGTGGCCGGGTAAGTCAAATGGATCATATGGGTGCATGCAGATTTGTATCACCAAATATAAGGGTAAACTACAAGCTCCTGTGTGGCGCAATCATCGCAGATTCTTACGGGAGCAAGTCTCCTCACTCTACCCCGACGCGGACGAGTCACAGATCGACGATTGGATAGCAGGAGTGGAGTCCGTTAAGCCCAAGGTACAACAGGCCTTTTTACTACGTGATCTTGTGTATCACCAACGTATAGCGTCACCGTTCCTCCCACCCTCATACGCATCCTCCTTTTCACGCATTGCAGGTGACACGTCAACGCAACTATCACGACTGTGGTGTGTACATCATGAAATATATGCAGGCCTTAGTCGAGCTGAATTTTGAGTTTGTTGAGGAAATCAAACTGTTTGGCAAATCGGCAGACTGGCGGAAGGAGATTTTCCGGGACTTGTTTGACTACAGTGCCTTCTATGAGGATCACCTACGGCGTAAGGGTAAAGTAGTGATCCGTTGAATGAGGAGCAGTGTTGTAGTGTTGATGTATTTGTGAATCATGTGTTATGCTGACACGATATAAAATAAGTATAGGGTTTAGCTTGTCAGTTTTATAATTAACTCTTTAGTTTGGTGCAAGTGGCCTTTTCTTGACATGTATCACTCAGATACAACCTGCTTACTACATGGTGAAACCATATCCTTCTTTCTTTATGCAACATTATCGAAACAATGAGAAACGGGAATAATGGCCCAGATTGTCTAGCAATTAGTTGAAACCCTAGCTCACGCACGCCTTCCGCCACCCTTCTGTTGGAACGCCTGACATCCAGTCCGCCAATGGCGGAGTGTCTTAGGTTGCAAGCTACGTACGCCCTATACAACCCAGGACAGATTGGGCAACGTCGCGGACCAATAGAGATTGTTCCGGACTCCGAGTATCCTGATGCGCGCGACGCCGCGGACTTGCCGCCCTCGTGCATCCGATATGCTCCGCCGGCTCGTGAGGCATCGTCCGAAAAGAGCCACGAGAGTCTGATGATGGAAGGCCATGAACAAGAGGAAAGCGGCGAAGATATGCCCCCGGTAGATCTAGACCCGATGCACAACATCACGCTGACGCGGAAGGCGATGAGACTCAGGAGGACTCTCCTAATGCATGGAACAACGTACTTAACACTGATCATGCGCCAACTGGCAACAACGATCATGCCACTGCAGACAATCATGCTGAGGCGATTCATCCCGAGAGGACAGGTCAACCACTCCCTACCATCGCACGTGACCCGCATAACCTGGTCTCAAGGCCTTACCCGGTACCCTCTGACCATGCGCCACCGGCACATCCAGCTCGTGAGTGTTTCAACATTATGCTATGACCATATATATGGCGGTCTCTAATGTCACTGCAATCCCTGTTGTGTAGAGAACGCACCGCCACCTGCGCCGTCACCTGATGAGGAGGATACCATGGCGCTGTTAACATAACATCTCCGACCCTGGCAGCCACATCGCCAGTGAGTGAAAACGAGCCCGGTACGCAGATGTCTACAATGAAATCATTTTCTATGTGTATGGTCTGAGTGTCCAACGTAACATGTCGTAGGTGACAATGACGGACCCAGCACTACACACGCTATTCGACATATGCGTGTGTGTCGCACGGATCGCACGGATACAATGCAGCGCACACGTCGCTTGACTGGTAACTCTCCCTGAACGGTTCACCCTTATTCCTTCATACCTTCTTTCTTGCCCTCACCGATGACGTAGGAAACTAACCCACCTAACCCTACATCATCGCCCAGGTGACCACCGCCAGCAGGATCTTCAGCCACCACGCCAAGTGGCTGGTGCTTACAACCAGGGGACCAGAGATGGTAGGACATTGTCGTGTGCACATGGCCCGAAATAGGTCCACCATCTGGGTTCTCACAGCCGTTTCTGTTGATATACAGGTGTTGATGGGCCAGAAGATTTCCCCATGTTCAGACAGTGGCTAGACATATCTCAGGTGCTGCGGCCTTACCACATCGTGAAGCGTCGGCGCCAGTATCTTTGATTAACAACAGGGTTATCATTGTTTTGCAGCATGCTGTTGATGTATCGCGAACCTTGCTTGAGTTTAGGACAGGTTCTGGTTTGCAACTTAGGGGCCTGTTTTACATGTGCTTGTTGGATCAGAATCCCCTTATGCTTAGATCGTATTCCAAAGCAACGGACACCATCCGAAGTGGCCCCATCCGATCTTCTTGGGGCTCGGGATGGTGTCTGTGTGGGGCAGGCCCCCACTCTTGACTTTTGGGGTCGCAGGGTTGGCCGGACACGGTCGTCTGCGTCATCTAACGCAGAGCTGTTTTGGTTAGCATCGCGCCCAATAGAATCTGCCAGAACCCATCGCAGTGTAGCCTGCCAAACGTCCAGTTCTGACTTCGTGGGCAATTGTGAAACTTCTGCCGCGAAATCGTTTTTATGTGTTTTTATGTTGGTTGGCTTGGTGTTCAGAGCAGCGAGTACTTGTTACCGTCATGAGGATCTGGAGTTTGTACAACCGACTTGCGCGCGGGTCAGAATGCGTAAAGTTTCGTGACGGTAACTGGTCACGTGCTCAGCCTGTCAGGTTCAATGTCCCAATCATACACCAACATGGCATGAAAACCCCTTGTCGCATGAAGACGTGCAAGACGGTCGCATGTTACGTGGCCGTCAGCTTCAAAGTGTCTTGATGCCGAACCGCTTGGCGCAACATTGAAATTCGAATTTCCAACATTGCGGACCGCGTGGCCCAACTTTGAATGGTGTCCGTGCTTTGGAATACAGCCTTATTTAACATCTTCTGCCAGCTTCCCTGCAACGGTGTACTACACACAAAAGCGAGCCAAATCTGCACATTTCTTTCTGTAGTCCCACTTTCAATCGAATTGTACAGCTATATCACCTCATAAGCAGTTTGGGTTATAGCGAGATACTGCACACCAAGTTGGATCCCGCGCGGGTCAGGAAGATCCTTTTGCGTTCAGATTAGCTCTGATCCGCGTCGTACCTACTCTCAACAACGCTGTGTGTTAGAATCCGATATGCCTTGGCTAGATTCCAGCACGTTAGAACCCCCACAC